CCCCCCCCCGGGGGGGGGGGGGGGGGGGGAGCAAAACAAAGCACACCAAACTGAATTAAAACATAGTGAAAACACAATAACTATCTGAAACAATCATAATATTGACTCCTATAGTAAAGTACTTGTCCTGCTAAGGGGGGGAAGTGGCCAATGATTCAGATTAGAAATAGATGGTAAGATTGGTGAAAGTTAGTTCTACAGATACGTCTTGAAAGAAAATTAGAGCCTTTGCATTTTCAAAGGATAAATAAATTTATTAGTAAGAGAAATTAAGTACTTCAAGGCTGCATTCCTAGAGAAAGAGGAGTTTATTTGCAGGAGAAGCCTTATTATGATCAGAGAAGAAGCCCCTGAAATAAAATAAAAACTACAAAAAATATATTGTTGAAGAATAAGACCACAGGGAGGAGCAAAAAAGGGACATGAATGGAGCTATACGTTCTCTAGATCACATTCTGTTTCAGAACTTAAAACAAATTATCTGATACCAAAAGATGCATTTCTAACCCAAAAAATGTAACGACTTGTAGTTTAAAAACATTTCCTCACCAAGGAATGTAACATCTTGTGAAACAGAGAAAAATACATTAACAAATAAAAATGGTTTATAAATAAAAGGATTTTGAGAAATAATCTGACTTAGAATCTCGAAAACAATGAGATATATCTATACCTGAAGCAGACTGGCGGCATATGTGATGTAGCTACGCATTCTTCCCAGTGCTGTGATTCGAATCTCATTCTCATTTACAGGGGCTTCCTCCCTTGGCTTCTCCACCCTCTGGTACCGATCCATCTTCTCGCACCCAAGAAAAAAAACAACTTTTTTCAATTACATAAATTTACATATACATCAGCAAATTCACAAAAAAGTGAAAGCTTTCATTTTCTCTAACAAACCAAGAGAGGAGGTATTTACATCAAGAAGTTAGCACCGAACTCAAAAATGAAAATAAAAAATCTGAGATTTTATTAGAAGGAACAAAGAATAATAGGAAAAAACTGACGTGCTATATACTCTGGGCATCAAATCCAAACCAAAAAAAAAAAAAAAAAAAGCGGAACAACTAAAAAAAACCAAAAAAAAAAAAAAAAAAAGCGGAACAACTAAAAAAAATAGATAGAACCTTTCATCCAAACATACAAGACAAAAATAAACTTTAATGACAAAAAAAAAGAGATTATTCAGATACCGCCTTGGATAAATAAGTAAATAAAGAACACATTAAATTCCTCGATTTCCCTTGAACAGTGCTGACTAGGATTTTCTTTTGTACGGTCAAATCAACCAGTAAAACCTAGCCAACTCAGAAAAAAAAATCACACTCGCCAGATTGAAAGCAATAAATCCCCAAAAAACAACCACTATAAGCAACAGTTCGCTTCCTCTAAACCGATTAAAACAACAATAATAACAACAACAAATAAATATAACACTAATTATTGTACCAACTAAACGCGATATATAAATACATCTCAAAAATAATAATAATAATAATAACAGCGATAAGTAACACTTCACTCTCCCCGAACCCTAAACCTCTAAACAAATAAAGAAAAAGAAAAACACAACAGGATCAGCAACAGGCCTTAAGAACAAAAACAATAATAACAAAAACAATAATAACACTGGTTATTGCTGAACAATTAATTTTAAAAAGCTTTAAGAAAATAAAGTACCTTTTTTTTAGGGTTTGCCTTTGCCCTCTTCTACGGCTCGTTATCCTCTGCTCTGCTCTGCGAGTCCTCGCTTGCGCAACTGCCCTCACTTTATACACCCGATCCCCACTACAGCAAGCGAACTGGTCTCCCCTGCCGATTTACGGAAATGCCCCTGGTAAGTGGTAACTGCCCCTGGTCTTAATGATCGCCAGGAGTCCACGTGGCGATGGCGGTTTTTGTCTGGACGGGGTGGCACGATTTTTGAAGTGGTAGTAGTTGCGGGGTGTGCTTTAGGGGGTGTTTGGCAATCTGAAAGTGAATTTAAAATATGTAAGTTACTTTTTTTTACAAATAACTTTTACATCCATGTCAGCACGCAAGTGAAATACAGTGTTTGTTTGAAAAATTAAATTATTATCGAAAGTGCAATGTGAAGATGACGTGGCAAAATAAGATTAATTAGAAAATATAATTAAAATCATTTAATTAAATTACTTACCTTTTTGTCACTTTCATATGACTTCACCATTTTTTTAAGGGAAGTCAAAATTGCATTAAATCTTATGTGGCAACTTTCTTACATCTCACTTTCATAACCACTTACATGAAAACAAACACCTTAATTGTTAAATGAAAGTAACTTTCTCACTTTCATCTTTCACTTGCATGCAAACAAACACCCCCTTAGGAGTCGCTCGCTGGAGTTTTGAATTTTTAATATCTTCTTTTGTGTTAGTCCCTTAACTTTTGGCATTTTGAAATTACTGTAAATTTGTGGAAATTGTCATTCTTTTTAGAACCGAAATTGCTACTAGGTCTATGTATCTTAAATTTAGCAGCTTAGAGGAATTGGGCACCTAATAGAAATTTTAATTATACGAGGGAAAAGTTTGGAACAAGTTATGAGAATGGTGGGACCTAATGTCAAGAGTGAAAATTGTACTAGTTTTGTTCATAAAAAAGGAAGAAGATTGAAATTTCAGGCCTCCTAGATATATAGCTGCAAGTTCAATCATACATAAGTTGCATATATAAATTAAAAAGTGCAAACCCAAGTATGCTTGGCTAATTGATGTATTATTCACAGCAAATGTGAATGAAAAATTTAACTTACAAAAGAAAAAATTAAATACATAATTATTCATGAAAACGAAAAATCATTTATTAGGCTTAAGTCACTTATTACCGTAAATTTAAATCATCTTCATGTAGTCATGTTAAGGGTAACACTGCTGAAGTTAAATCAAAAGGAAAAAATACGGAGACAGAGCAAGGTAGAAATATGGGTATTTTAATAACTCTTCATCAAGTAATTCTGTCCATCTGCTGAAGTTAAATCAAAAGGAAAAAAATTACGGAGACAGAGCAAGGCAGAAATATGGGTAGTGTAATAACTCTTCATCAAGTAATTACGTCCATCTGTACTTGGGAGATTTAGCAATACATGTGGAGTCAATGGACAATCTTGTCTTCAATTTTTATTTTATTTTATTTTTTCAATCTCAATAATAGATATCTAAATTTGTTAACAATAAGCACTTTATTTTGGTTTTAAAAATAGCTAAATCTTTAGGAGCTACTTGATGAGATTATTGCTTCATTTGTGGGAAGCTGTTATTTAATTTTAGGGTGTGCTTGACAAACTATACAAAATTAAACTAGGACAAAACCTCGCTCACTTTTATGCTAAACTAGTTTTCTTTTGGACTATCTTTTGGTCTAGCCCTCTCTAGTCCAAAAAAACTAGTCTGGAGAGCATATTTTAACCAATAAAAACAGGGTCAAATCTGACTTTCTTGTTTGCTAAACAAAAAATCTTTCACAACTGGACTAGGTTCTTGCCAAGCACCCTCTTATTTTCAGACCAATTCTGAGCGCGCTTAACATTGTCCTGAACTCAAATCAAACAACATAATCTTCCAAACCTAGAGGTACAATAGTTCTTCCGCATGTCCCCTCAGTACCTCGAGGGACGAGTCCAATCCCCAATTTTACTATCTCAGGTAACAAGTAACCGTCAAGAAAAGAAAATTTTACATCTACTAGCATTGATAACGATCTTCTCATTTCCATTCAAAAATACTGGCAATATAAACTAAAACAAATGGCTCTATAATAACTACACAACGTTACAGGAGACGAATTGCTACTCCCAAGTCATTTTCAGCACCTAAAATAGGGGGGTACATACATGGGAAAATCATCCAAACAAGATCCACCAGATCCTTCCACAAATAATTAGGAACGATCCAATGACTTAAATTTTCAGCACTAATTCACGAGACCAATAAGCAGCCTTCTATTATGTTGAGAACTTCGCTTCATAGCTCTGCGGCAGCTGCACATAATAAATATAATAGTAGCATTAGGTCACACGATTGATAGCAGAGAAATAAAAAGAGGAAGTGGAGAATTTACCATGAATGTTGCTGTAATCATCTTTCCAGCAAACCACCTCCCATGGAGCGCACGCTGTGCTTCCATAGCTGAATTTGTACTCTCAAAACGCAGATATACGTGGCCAGCACTATACCTATATATCCCAGAAAAAAAAGAGGAACAAGAGGTGAGAAACCATACATAGGAACAGTAATATCTCAAGAACAGTGCCTATTATTAATTAAAACATTAACGAAAAAATTAATAAAGAACATAACAGAATATTTATCCCATTTTTGGCACAAAGACATCAGCATGTGATATTTAAGAAATATATCGCCCATACATGAACCACTACTATGATACAGTTGAACAAATTCTGCAAAATTTCCATGAGGTATAAATATCTATAACCATAAGTCTATTACACAGGCAGAAGTGTATGTATATGCATGAACGATTATATTATGTGGTCAGAACGAACTATGCTAATTTTCATCAGGTATAATATTATTTATTATGAAAAATAGGCACAGATGTCTAATGATGCAGCGAGTGCATATGAACAGGAGTCAAACAAAGGACAAGAGCATTTTGAAGATTTGAAAAGCCCAACAAAACACCATCCTCCTCCAGAAACTGTTCTTTCTTCCCTTATTCCACTTATCATCATTATTAGGTGTTAGTTATACCATTTCATGGATAATTTGAAATTTTATGTTGTTATTATATGATTATTCACGGATATAACATGTCATGGGTACAATCATACAACAATATTGCCTTCTCCCGAATTCGTCCGCTATCCTATTCTCCAATTCGGTTCATAACATGTCATGGATGCTTGCAAAAAATAGTAATGTCTTATTTAATATTTATGTGAAGTGTATTCTACTTTTTAACTGTCGATTTCTTATTAGTTTAAGTTGCACATGATCTTTGCTAGCAATAACCTGAACTCATGGGTTACCCCCAACCCGTCACCCCCTCCAACATAGACCTTTTAGCCACACAGGGGAAGGCCTAAATACTGCCTGCTTGCAAAGCTAGGATGAAGAACATACTCATAAGGTGCTCAAAGTGACGTATTTGAACCAGGACCTCTTGAGAATTGATCTCACATAACCACTCTACTGAAAAGCAAGCTAGTGTTTTTTACACTGTGCTAAACAACTACAAATGCTGATGATCAGTTGAATGTTATACTGTTGATGACAACACCTACAACCACATTTAGCTACACACAATACCCACAAACTAATTTATTTACTGATAGCTTTTTATTTTACTACTGCATTGGAAATGCTATTATTGAATAAAATGTTGTATTGATAATTAACAATTAAGTATCATAGGAATTATTTGTGTTTGCTGTCAACTAAAGGAGACCATATAAGGTTCAAACCAGATTTGAAACTGAGTATATAGATAAAACATTAAACAAAGAAATAAGTATGAATAGAATTTCTCACTTGTCCACAAAGATATGCTTCACTTTTCCAAATTTTTGACATTCCTCTTGAACGTCTTCTTTAATATCAAGATCAAAATCCGGTTCAGTCTTGCATCATAACTAATATATTAGCATAAACAATACAAATATTTAGCAAATTATACAAGAATTGAGTATACAAGTTGAAAGCTACCTCAACAGCAGGGTCAAACATATTCTTCAACAGTAAGCATTCACTAGGAAACCCAATGGTGTCAACAGTTGTGGTGATAGAAGCAATTGGCATAGCTGAAGCTTGAAGACCTGCAAGGGCGGGTATAGTTGGTTGTATAAGGGGAGATACCACAGGAGGAGCACCAAGAACTGAAGCTGTTGGTACAGCAAGGGCAGGGGTGGTAACAGCTGGATTGACAAGCACACCAGCTACACTGTAGATACAAGAGAAAAAGTCAATTTTTTAGTGCAATATGAAGACTTTAATGAAACCATGACTCTGCAAGTAGAAATTAGGTGAAAGGAAATATAATAGAATTATGCACAATTGAAAACAAACTGCATCAGCTGAAAAGGATCAAACCTTGTAGCAGAGCCACTGCGGTCCAATTTTTGCATAAGGAGAGCTCTAGAATGGGCATTTAGCGACTGCAAATGAAAAATATATATAAAGATAAGCACAAGCTGGCTGAAAAAACAAACAGTAATCCAATACAAAGTACACACATATAGACCTGGCAACAGTCGAAGCTACACTTCGTGGTATAAAATCTTTAGCAATACAGTTTGTGCACAGTACAGTACAGTGTACATATATGAACTTATGCGCACATGGGCCCATGGAATAGATGAACACAATAATGTGCAAACTCCATATCACGAAAAATACGAAGTAGAAAATATCTTGCAAGCCCATGGCATGCTTCTACAAGGACATCATTTACGAATTTTTAACAGAAATACGTTGGACTGCCAAGTACTGAACCAAAAATCCTAATGTCTGCAGTCAAGGAAATTTCATTCACATACAGAACAACATTACACAAGATAGTTTGCAATAAAATAAAGTGGAACTAGCATTTTCTAGCAGCATATAGTCTTCATGTCAACATAGCATGTGAACTTGAAGACAAACTGATCAAAGAAAGGAACACTTTTCGATATATTATTGAAGGATTAACACCAAAGCCTGAAGTCCAGAGGCTGGTCGCAACCATGGTTCACAATGGTATCGATATCAGAAGTTTTTGAAGCCTTGTTAATTTCTGACTGGGAGTATCTACATGGAGTAAACTTGTTTAATCACAGTCCTTCAGTTCATTGAACCTTTTTTAATTCAAGCCAAGGTAATAACATTGTCAACTTTGGATACCTCAAATCTCAAGATACTCATGTAGTTGTTAGCCAAGGATGGACCCTACTAGTCATCATTGACCAAACTCAAATCCAATTAGCTACGATCAAGAACTGTCATATTGGCAAATACTTCAAATTGTGATAAAAACCCTCAAATAGCACCAAGCTCATATGTTGTTTACTACGGTAATAAATACTAACAATTCTTAATTCACTTTACACACATTATCAAATCACACATTGAAAGTTTGAAACACAGAAGATCCCATGCTAACTTAGCTTTATTCACTTAGGTGTCGCTTGGCGACGTGTTAAGTCAAGAGTTAAAAGAGATTTAACCCCTCCATAACCAGCCAACCTCAAGAAAATTTATTAACCTAAGTCTGCCAAACAGAAAAATAAAAGAGGGTTAAAATAACCCTTCTAGACGGTAAAATAGTTGACCCCTAAAACTGAGGTTTAATAACCTCCTTAGACATGTTAAAAAATAGCCCCTTTTCACATATTGCCACTACCATCCAAACACTGTCATTTCAGCTATACTTGTTCTCTGTCTCTTAACTTCCAAGCATCTTGACCCATAGAGCATGAATGGTCCTGCAGCCAGCTTATAGACATTTCTTTTCCATTTGGTATATTATGTAGCTGGATAACTGTCAGAGGAATTTCTTTGCTTAACCATCCCTCTTTGATTTATAAATATGCAGAATGATTAACCCTAAATCCAAAGTAAAGAAAACTGGCAGTCCTTGTAGCTGCAAACCACACCCACCATTTTCATAGGCATTTATGAAAATAAAGTTACAACAAGTCAAAAGCACTGCATGAGACAACCTTTAAAAACTTACTGTAGCAAAAACCAGTAGTAAAAGAAAAGAACAGAAAACAGAAAAGGGGAAGGAAAGAAAGAATGTGAATAGACGGAAGAAAACCGACCATTCCGCCACCCTCGTCATCATCAAGATCAGCAGCATTTGTACCGACTTCCTGCACGCCAACTTGATCCGTCACAGCAGAAACCTACATGGACACAAAAATAGTTAAGTAGAAAAACATCTGATATTATCCAGTTCAGGAAACAAACAGATCTAAACATATAGATCAAACAGATCTAAACATATAGGTAAGTCAACTACCTTTATCACCCTGCCAGCAATTTCTAACTGGCCATTTAAATTTTGAGCATTTCTCGCATCTTCAAGGCGTGCAAACTGGAAATTTACACATTATTGCTATTAGCTGGACTTTTGAGGACAGTAAAAATAATTAGCGGACGTACTTACTTGAACAAAACCAAAACCTTTGCAATGTCCAGTTTCGTCCAGGGGTAGCTGAACTAGCTCAACAGTACCAAACGGCTCAAAGACCTATATAATACGACTCATTAATAAGAATTTAGCGCTAATTGAAGCAGCAAGCAAGTTTAAGTTTAAGCTATCATGATCAGGATAACTAGCAGTGCCAAAATGTAATTCATATATATAGGTAGAATTAGAATCAAGGTTATCGATAGCGGATAGCGTCACGTAGCGGTGAGGCATCGCTAAGGCTATTTCGAGCTATTGCGGCAAAATAGTGGTAAAAAGCGCAAGTCAAATAGCGGTCTAATTTAGATATGTATAAATACTAAAAAAATTAAAGAAAAATCTAAAAGTATATATTGGATGATTTAAAGAGATCATAAACATGAAATATACAGGTAACCATCACGTAATACCAAAGATGACTGGAGGAGTCAAAAAATCGTCATCTTCGAGAAGAAAAGCTTAGCGGTGACAGGACTGCCCTAAGTGGAGCTCACGGTGAAGGAGGTGAGAGGAAGTATCAAGGTAGGTGCCAGAGGATATGAGAGATGACGGGAGTATACTGAAAAATCACAGGAGACGGTGGAATGCAATGGTCAAGAGTTGAGTTTAATTTTAAAAAATAAGCCTCAAACCGAGACGGTGGAATGCAATGGTCAAGAGTTGAGTTTAATTTTAAAAAATAAGCCTCAAACCGTTTTTAAATAGCAGTCAAAAAGCAAATTTCGAATACAATCGCTCACTATTTACCGTTATGACACACTATTAGCCGTTTTTGCGAACAGACATATTCCGCAATATGTCATCGCTATTGTGTGATAGCGTAGCGGACGATAGCGTCGCGGGAAGGGACCGCTAACGCTATTAGCGCCGCTATTGCGGGGCTATTTACCGCTATTTATAACAGTGATTAGAATGAACCAATTGGTATGACTGAGTGTTCTTTATTTGTAGAGAAAAAACAAACACAACTGTTGAGCATAGCTCCATAAACTTCACCACAATTACAAAAATGAAATCATGATATTCAAGAATTTTCATTTTTATTTTGACAAATTATACATGAGTTTGAAAGGATAAAGGTAGCTTAGAATTCTTAAAAATGATTGTACATATATCGAATTTTGGCTATAAAAAAGGGAGGGAGAAAGGGTACATAAGAATGGGGATTGTCAGTGTTATCACTGGTGCTGTTGGCGATGGGAGAACGACTCACTATTAAGTATGAACATCAACAGGTTATTTAGTCATGAAAGCATAGTTTCTAATATTGTATTATACCATAAATTTTGTATGTATACGATATGATACAAGCAGAAAAAGCATGACCCATGATAATATTAAAAGGTTCAGATATCGTTTTTATGCACAATTAAGTACACAATATGATACACTATCTAATATCTATCATGTACCATGCAATAAGCTTAACTTTGGTTTTTTAGCAGGATTGATGAGAGGCAAGGGGGGGGGGGGGGGGGGATACAGTAATGGGATAAAAAATGCTAACTAGTTACATGGGTTAAACTAACAAAAGTGATTTATTATATTATACCTGTCGGAGTTGATCTTCTGTAATGTTGAAATGAAGATTGCCAACATATAATCTTCTGGCTCCACCAGAATATGGTCCACCACCTCCACCTGCTCCCGCTCCAGTGGTAGATTGCACCAAATTCTTCTCTGCCTCTGATGGCTTAACCATTACAGCTTGGCCACGAAGAGGTTGACCAGATAGAGCAATTGCCATTGGGACAGACATTGCATCATAGAACTCTATATATCTGCACATAAACTTCAAAATTACATCCGCAAATTTGGTAAAGCAATGGTTTCCAGTAGATAGATTTGCTTCAGACTTTTAATTTTGCGTTGTTTACTTTACAAATAACACCTGCTTTGCCAACAACATAAAATTCCTTTCATTATAGCTATCTTCAAATTGATCTATATCCATTCACACAAATGTCGAAAGTAAACTACTTACTAATGGGCATATTTATAAATCTTAAAATCATTGAAGATAGTTTCATTCAGAAGTACATATATGTGCAGTTAACAAAAGCATGTGACTTGTATACTAAAACAAACATGTGCCTAGAACCAAACTGAAGTCATGAAAGTATGCTCAGTCTGGGTGTCAAACCTATCAGCCACAATGTGCAAAAAACCGAGAAGGCAAAAAGAGAAGATAGAATCTGTAACACTAATAGTGATAGAAGTTAAATAAAACAAGGGGAAGATCCAATAAGAATAAGTGAGAAAGCACAAATATAACATGCCAATTCTACTTAGTAATGCAACTTGGTGATACATGCATAAACAATAGTATAAAGAGGAACGTAACCAGACAGTTGACAGAGAATTACACTTACTGAAGGTATGCTCTTATCAATTTAACTGTATTATTTTTTGTTCCATAAAAATATTCAGTTCTAAGTAGATGAGGAATGTAAGTCTACGAGCAACAGCTCTTGTGAGTATATAACACAGCTTAAGTAACTTAAGTGCCGTGCTCAAATGCCATATACACGTTCATATATTTACACTCTGCCATGTACAGTTCTAATCAGAAGTTAATATTCAAGTTTTTAAGCCTCATAACACGGGTGCATGCAAGATGGCAACAAAGTGTCTATCAATAANATGCACACAAAAATGCGAAGAATAATGTTAAAAATTAATATGCACTGCAACAAGGGGTTTTCCTTTCATCAAAAAGGTGGGGCAGCTTACGGCTCAGGTTAAAACCTAGACCTATTTTGCATGGACACTTATATCATAAAGCCATACACATACCCAACTTACGGTATCTGTACCAGACGCCGACACTCCTAAAATATATGCATACATATTACTTAAACGTGTGCTTAATTACATAATACATGTTTTAGTTAAAAATACTCACCATACACTTTTTGGACATATATCATACACCTAACAAACTCCTCAAACTTGTTAGGCAAAGGCTAGGTTTGTTTCAACACATTAGTTCAGAACAATGATTTTAGATACGTACGTAGCGAGCGAGAGAGAGAGAGAGAGAGAGAGAGAGAGAGAGAGAGAGAGAGAGAGAGAGAGCAATGGATATGCTTGGTACCAAGCAAAAAATTGGTGCTTGATAGTGACGTAGCTCATTCCTATCCACACATTTCAATGTGTCCACTTGAAAATAGTCCCCACTTGTTTTACTCGCCCATTGAATGAATGGATGAGAAGTGACAACCTCACTAACAAGCATCAAGATTTTAAATATCGGATATCGAGGAAATATCGGATGGCCAATATTCATATCAGATTGTGGATATCAGGGATATGTAGTAAATATTGAAATGCTATAACGGATGTTATGCACTAAAATGCAATCTCTACATACTTACGGAAATCAAAGCATACAAATGTAAATAAAATAATGTTTAGGATCACTAGTCAACCTTGTAAAACAAACAAAAGTTCAGATCAACGTTGCAACATTTGGTCTGATATTTTTAGAACAAAATATTATTTGATATAATAGGAAAATTATGATATCTTGCCCAGAAATTGGCAAACATGGTAAACTGTCTTGCGACAAGCTATATAAAACCATATATCGACCAACATATTAGTTGATATATCGGTCATATTGGGGATATATCGCCCAAAATACCCGAAAAGCAGTAAAGGATATTTAGAGACCATATCAGTTATGGTAAGCCCTGTAAAAGGATATATCGGGCCATATCGGGGATATTTTAAACAATACAAGGTGTTTAGAAACCATGCATACCCAATTAATTCGATAATATTAATATAATAGTACTAATATCTATATATGAACAATTTTTCAAAAACAGGCCCCTTTAATTTTTACATGTTTATCACCACAATCGACCCCGGGTTGTTTTTTATTGTAGCCCAGAAACGTCCCTTTTTTTATTAGCAGCCTATTCACCTTCCGTAAGATAGTCGGGGTGCCAACCGACGTATTTAGGAACATAAAACGGTTCAGGGTTTCAAGGCTTCTAATTAGGGTTTAACAATAAACAGCCCCTCCTAAATAGTCGGGTTGGCACCCGACTGTTTAGGAGATGATGTAGGCTGCTAAATCCAAAACGGTCATGTTTGTAAATAAAAAAGGTTGATTGTGAAAAATAAAATCTGTTTTTTTTTTTCTTTGGGCTATTTTGAAAAATTGGTTCATCATATATACCAATAATATATATATAATTAGTATATATAGGGCAGGATAGGGGGATGCTCGCTACGCCATGTGGCCAATTGGCACCCACTCATTCAATGGGTGGGTAAACAAGTGTGGACCAATTTTGTGCTCGGTAATGATGTTGATGCTTCTCATCCACACATTTAAAGGTTTCCATTTAGAAATGGTCTGTAGTTATTTACCCACCCATTAAAGGAGTGGATGCTAATTGGCCACATGACTACCAAGCAATATGTATGTATGTATGTATGGGTTTGTGTGTGTATAAACACGCACACACACACACACCACCCATTAAATGAGTGGATGCCAAATGGCCACATGACTTGCAAGGTCTGCTTTATCGGCCAGTGACTTTAGTGCCCTAGTGCTTGCAAGGCCTGCTTTATCGGCTAGTGACTTTAGTTGCTCTCTCTCTCTCTGTGGGCATGTGCGTGCGTGCGCATATTTATATATATGAGGGGAACATTGGTGCAATAGTAAGGTTTTGCCTTGTGACCTGAGGGTCATAGGTTCGAATCCTAAAAACAACCTCTTCGCATACGGGGTAAGGCTGTATACATTTGACCCTCCCCATAGCCCACAATGGCAGGAACCTCTTGCATTGGGCTACCCCTTCATATATAGGTGTGTTTCCCTACCCTACCTTTCACAAATTTGTCGCATCCCACCCTGGCACCCGTACTCGTAACATAGATGATAGATCTAGTCAACCCAATGGAACTAGGTTGGATTGGGATTTGACCTATATAATTTACTTTAAATCAACAGGTTGGATCACAATTGTTGCTGAGATTTGACTCATATATGCTCACGCTTAAAAAGGTATACATGGTGACAGTGACACCTTAACTAATGCAAAGTATTATCATCAAATCACATGGTGATTAATCATCACTGAGATAATCAGCAGAAACTGTTAATGGCCTCCATGTTTATACAAAAGGAATCAAGTGATTGATTTATCTGTCCCATTAATCAAATAATCACATATATTCTATTGTGTAAAAATCAGAAAATTTTGATTCCAGGAAGGTGCTCAAACTCTGTAATTTCTTCTCCAACTACCAAGAGATGTTATCTAAGGTGTGGAGATCTCAAAGTATGAGTATGCACGCAAAAGAAAGAAAGAAACACAACAAACAAATAGGAAACATGGGGAAAACAGAAAGGAGAGAAAACACATATAGATCACAAAATAATCTTGTTAAAAAAAGGAGAGAGAAAAATCTGGCAAAGTAAATGACATGAAAAATAGAGTAAATAAAAAAAACATACCCCACTCCCTTAGAACGTCTTGAATTTCGATCCATTATAAGACGAACATCCCGTACCTGATTACAGGACAACAAATTAGATCAATAGAATGATAAATCGATAGGCATAATTATTTTTGGAAGACTCAACTTACAAAACGTTGATCCACTGATAGACACTCTACAGGTTTAAACAATTGCACCATAAGAGAGCATAAATGATAGCCTGTCATGTGTCAATATATCAATAAATCCACAGAACATGTATTGGCAATTGACTAAAGAGCAACACTATCTTGAATGCATATCTTTTCTATGCTTGGCAGGAATCTACCTCCATAAAAAGAAAATGGTCATTTTACATTCTAAGATAAGTAAATTCCCAAAGTTTAGTACTTATTCAAGCCCATTCAAAGTCATCAAACCCTATACATGCTGCAACCTGACGAAGCAGTCATAATATCTCTCTTTTTTATTGGTCCCAATGAAACCCAATTAGAATTTGTCCCAAAAAAACCAATTAGAAACTGAGCGAAAAAAATTTGCTCCAACAAATAGTAGCTGAAACCAAGATTCAGAATTCCTAAAACATCTGATCTATCCTAAAACAGTTATAATCCTAAAAAACATGTGTTTCTCTACGCGTGACATGTCTTCCCATTGCATGCCTGGCTACACTTACGTCTCTTTCCATAACTATAAGAATGACTGCCTTTGCACTTAATTATACTTTTACTTTTACCTGTGCATTTAATGGCTGCATAAAAACAGTTTTGAATCACAGAAAAATAAAAACATTTGATGAGCAGGTCAACACTATAGTGAAAAGTGACTAAGTCGCATGATTTTGATCTACATTTCTTCACCATCAGTCAACTGATTTTACAGTTTTGTAACTGAAAAGCCATCCACATCCATTTTCCAGCCCCTCTAGTTAAAGAGTATAATAGCATTTTTTTTAATATAAACATTATAGACATGGAGAATTGTGGAGATGATGTAGAGATTTTAGACCAACTGCACAAGGTGATACACGAGTCAAGTTAGGGGAGCCACCTAATATTGTACAA